TATCACGTATGCAGCCCGTATACAAAACATACACGGTACATAACCACAACATACACACATCGTATACACATACATAAACAACACCGTCCAATCCACATGGAACTCATTCACAAACCAAATGCAACACCGACACAACACGTATACATTCCATAGGCAACACATATGCAACACATACGTGAAACATATACATCACATGTACAAAACGTATACGCAACACAGACCCAACACATACATCACGGATGCAACGCACATCCAACGTACGTGAACACCATATGCAGACCACACACAACACGTACGTAACATTAACATAACATGTACACACCATAATGCATACGCACCACATATTTTCATCATACACACAACATATACAAATCATAGGCACCACCTAAACGCAACCTGTACACCACGTATACGTAAGTTGTGCCAATATGCATACAACACACATACATACCCTAACCAACACCTATACAAACCGACACCACATATGCAACACATGTGCACGAAACCTGTACAACACATCTGCACAAGGCCTGGGAGCGCCTGGGAACGCTTGGGGGCGCTTGGGGCCGCCTGGGGTGCGCTTGGGAGAGCCTCGGGGCGCCTGGGATCGCTTGGGGGGGCGCGTGGGCGCGCGCCTCTGGGCGCACCTGACGGCACCTGGGGACGCCTGAAAGCACGGGGAAGCGCGAGGAAACGCCTCAGGGGGCGCCTGGGGGTGCGCTTGGGTGCGCTTGGGAGCGCCCAGGGGGGTGTCTGACAACGCGCGTGGGAGCGCGCCTGGGGGCGCCCAGGGGGGCGCCTACGGGTGCGCTTGGGGGCGCGTGGAGGCGCGTGGGAACGCCTATGCACGCCAGAAAGCGCCTGGGGTTGCACCAAGGTGCGCCTGGCAGCGCCTGGGAACACGTAAGGGCCTCAGGTACCTCCAGGAATCCTTTGGTTTCCTGCGGGTTCTTGAAGGTCCCCCATGTGCCCTTAAGATTTCTTTGGGTTCCTCGGGATTCCCAAGGGTTCCTCGGGACTAGGATTCTTCATGGTCCCGCCGGAGTCCTGAGGATTCCATGGGAAGTCCATCGGATTCCCGAGGATCGCGTGCGCAAACAGAATGCGATCAACCCTACTACTGCTACCACTCTCATTACTACTGCTGCTACTACTTACTGCTTACTCCTTACTACGCACTACTTACTACTTTCTACTTACTAATTACTGCTTCTACTACTATTAAAACTACTCGTTTTACTGCTACTACTACTACTACTACTACTACTACTACTACTACTACTA